TTTAAATTTACAATTTATAATATATGAAACATAATTTATGATACTTATAATGCAGGCAATATAAGTTCAAATATGGATAACATAAATTAAAATTAAATTTAAAAATCAAATGAATGCATTGATTTGTATTGCACTCTGCAATTGTTGATATGTATAGAAAATCAAATATAATGATGAATGAAAAGTTCAAATAACTCATTTAAAAAAATTAATTAGAAATTATTTCAAATAGCTAACCTTAAATAGTTTACTAAAAATTGAAGTTTTTTGTTTCAAAGTTATCTTTACGTAAAGAAGAAATATCATTTTTTTTTGGAATTAAAGCATAAATAAGAATGAAATATTTCCATTTCAATTTATTATGATATAAAATATTTTCATTTATTGAATAATTATTGCTCCAAATAAGAATTATACATTAAAATTGACAAATTTCAAACTTTATAATTCGTTCATTCAAAATATAAAAGCTTTGTAATTGTAACTTAGAAAGAAAAAAGGACTTATTATTGTAAAAGAAGACAAGAAGCACAGAAGTATTCAAATTATTTGCATCGAAATAGCACCGTACGAAAGTCGAAGAAAAAAAGTGAAGGAGAATAGAAAATATGCGACTCAAATGCTATTTGTGACAATAAGTTGAATGATATTAGCATGTATTGAGCGATTGAGAAATGAGTAAATATCAACAAACATTAATGGTAAAAGTTTTCAACTTCTTTTTTAATACAATATTTATCTCATATTGTTTAATCTGAATTTTTGAAATTGAAATTAAATGATGTATGAAGCAAAAATTAGTTATCATTATTGCGAATTACTGGAAATTATCTAATTGAAACAAAAAATTTGATTGATTTTTACTTTATCATTTAGTTCAATTAAATTTTGAATCATATGTATGTAAAGAATACCTGTAAAAATGAAAATTCATTTATTTTGCATGAAAAAATTCATCTAAATAAATTATAAAGAATTCAACTTTTTCCTTTTTATTACACCAAATAATTTGAAAGTGAGAAAAAAAAGATTACACATTATGACAAATAAAAAATAGCTTTGATTGTCTCATTTTGTCCTTCAAAATTTATGAGAAAAGAAAATTGGTTAATTGATGGTGACAATTCTTTTCCATGGCCAATAATATAGCCAACATATTGATGTATTATTATCGGCTGTTGCAATGAAAGCATTTTTTTTCCAATTTTCAACAATTGAAAAAGAAAGGGTAACATCAAAAGGACCGCTTTGTAATTTTGAATATTCACAAACATTTTTTTTCCTTCCTCTTTCCTCCTCCTCCTACCTCTTCTTTCGTCTTTTTCTATCTTCCTCTCCTTTTTTATTCGTTTTCCAAGCATTAATATTTGATTTTAGCACGGAAAATTGTAAATTTAACTGTTTCGGATCAAAATTATTAAAACATTTCCATTGCTAACATTACAATTCTTGGATTTATTTATAAAATTCTGCAGATCACTTTGTTAATTTTCATTTAGCTATTAGATAACGTTGAAGAAGAGAATATTTTAGGCTTAGTTAGTTTAATTTAAATTAATTCAATTAAGATTCTCTTAAAGTTCAGTTAACTTTAATTTAATCAACTACAAATTACAATTTTATAAAATTATCATGAAATAATAAATTGTGAAGGAAGTCTCGAAATAATTAAACTTTGAGAAAGTGTAATATTTGTTTTTGTTAGAATTCATATCAACATAATGCTATTCAGCGCATAAGAATTCTTAAGCAAATTTCATTATCAGTTGTTTGCCTATTTACAATTCTTGTTACTCTTAATTTATCATAGAGATTTGAAATTTATTAAATTTTACAATTTGGTTAAAAATATTTACTAAATGATAATAGGATGAAAAGAGACTTATTTAAAATTGTAGATAAGAATGTTAGATTTAATTTCATCGTATTAACCTGAAGTTAAAATTAATAAAATTTCTATTTTTTAACTTTAACTTCAGGAATAAAATCTGTTTCTTCAGGACGAATAGAGTTTATTTTAATGTCTAATGGCAATATACATTTGCCGACAGATTATCGTACTACTTACTGAATGCAATTTTAAAACTAAAATTGTCAAAGTTAACACCAATTCGATAAAAATTTTAAGTCATTCTAATATACAAAATATTTCTTGAGTTCAATTTAATTCATTAAAATATATCAAAACAATATGATGAAAAACATGAATATGTGGCATAAAGTTTTAACACTTTAAATTTTAATTGATTACACTTATACACTTTTACTACCGTAATATGAGATAATATCTATCATTTTACTGTCTTAAGATGCTTGCCTATCTGACCTTAAGATCCTCGCTTATTTGATCTTAGAATGCTTAGTTATTTGACCTTGAAGTATTTGTTGCAATATGCAGTGCAAATAAACGAATTTTTCCATTCTGATATTTGGAGAAAGGACAAAAATACTATCTAAAGTGCTGACATTTAGATAATTCAATTAATTCTTAACGTCATCTTTAAAAGGAATAATAAAAAAAGTGCTGACATTTAGATAATTCAATTAATTCTTAACGTCATCTTTAAAAGGAATAACAAAAGTAATAATATTATTCTTTTATTGATTTTGCTTTATATGATATATTTATTAGTAATTCATTTCTTTCATTACTTCTCTTTTTTCTTTCGAATTTTAAAATGAAACAATAGACATTTAACAAAAAATATTTTGATTTATGGAATATTAAATGAAAAAAAGAGAAAAAGAATTAGATGAAAAAGGAATTTATACCTTTTCGCTTTCTTTTTTCACCCTTTTATTTTTAAATGAAAGACGAAGAAAGAAATGTTCTAACCAAAAGTCAAGTTAATTTCACTTTTTTTTGCGTAAAATAATTTCCACTTTTTTCCATTTACTTTTTTTTGTTCAGCTCTGCCCACATTGTTTAGAATTAAAGAAAGAAAGAATTCATTTTTGACAATAAGAATAAATATAAAATAAAAAATAATAATTAATTGCCCACCGATCTAACATTCCTATTTTTGTCACAGTTTCAAATTTTTTCTTATTTTACAACGAAAAAAACAGAAATTTTGAATCACATTGATTGCTTCCACTATTAAATTTTCTTTGTATGCCTCTAAAAAAATCAGAATTTATGCAAAGGATAGGTTATTTCGGAAGATAAACAATTTCCAAATATATTTTTACTTGAATACACGAAAATGATATATGCTCTATCGTTCAAACAATTCTGAATGATTCGAGAATCACTGAAGATTTGAGATTTAAAAAAAGAAGAAAAATTATCAGTTTTATAAATTTAACCAATATGCTACACACTTATGAAACGAAATAGTTACAATTACATTATCCATAAAACTTTTAATTTTCAAATTCAAAATTAATTCTTTTATCACATAAGCACTTCTTAATGAATTTCGATAAAAAAAAAGGAAGGAAAATAAGTTGGTCACAGTATCCATCTAATCTTGATTATTATGATAATACATCCGTCATAAAATCCTTCAACTTACTGTATTACTTATATTTGAAATAATATACTATAGTAACTGTAGATACGAGTTACAATATAATACAATTAATCCTTCACCGATTAGATTGAACAAATATTTCGTCAATTGAAATTTCTTAGTTTGGATTTGTGACACGATGACTTTGTGTTCAACTTTTATGATGATATAAAAATGACCAAATGACCATTCCCTCTTATTCGGTCCTATCAAAAGGCTTTGATTGGGTCAAAGATAGAATGCCAAATGACGCAATCAACCCTAAACCATTGCTGTATATTTTAATACAATAAACCATCACTATATAATACAATGATCTTTCCGATATCTTTTATGTCCTTTTTTTTAGACCCCCTTTGAAAGTTTTAATATTTTGCTGTCATCATTGAAGCATATAGCGGTTAAATGTTAAATTACAATAATACTTCCGTAACGTTCTCACCATTTTACGAAATAAAACAACGACAATCCAGTAGGAAGTTTGAGTATTATTGAATTGATATTCCATGAAAGAAATATTATGAAATTTTTTGGAATAAGGTAAAAATAAAAATGATAACTTATCGGACATTTTAGAAGGAAGTTAACTTATTCTTTTCTGGTATAAAACAATTTAATTTAGGATTACATTGAATTTGATAGAGATTAAGAAAAATCACAAAAAGGTAATTAAATTTTGAAATAAAAATTTCGAAAATTTATGTTTATGAACTATGGAAATTTGTTTGATGTTGAGTTGTTATAAAATTTCTAACAATCTTCGTTTCAAAATAATAATTACAGTAATTTCTCGAAAAAAGCCAAAGTTTTATAAAAACTTCTGTTTATTAAAGAAAAACCCGAAACCATAAATACGAGATTTTTGGTGAATTTAAGCAAAAATTCCACCGTAATTCGAGATTTTTTTACAAATTTAAGAAATAATTCACAAATCAATCAAAATTTAAATCATTTGAAATTTTATTCGCAACCATTAACTTGCTTTATACAAGCTGTAAAACTTTTTCTATCAAAGTATCAGCTGCCACTAATGGTAATTAATTAAAAGATCCAATTTGGGAAAAGAAGCGAGAATTTTTTGGGACAAATAATAATGAAGCTGTGATAATAATGTAGACTTTAAATAATTTTTAAATCTTTATGAAATATACATCCTAACTTTATATATTCAAGAATATTGAATAAGATTTAAAAATATGAATTTAATCAGTGTTTGCTGTAGCGCTTTAAAATAACCAGTCAAGAATGAAAACAATGAATGAATGCTTTTACTTTGAAAAAGTAATAGATTGGAACTTTGATGAAAGGAAAATAAATTAATTATCAATTATCCTTTTCCATTTTCTCTTTTTTCCTCTCCAATTATTTTAACATATTTCCATTAAAATTTGTAATTGTTGAAAATTAGAATGTCTCACCTCATCATCAATAGCACAAACTTTTACACCAGATACCGAAACTGATAGTTGAACAGCAATAGCAGATTTTCGAGGAATAAATCGATCTAAACGTTGTGATACCGATTCCGGATCGGTCCCCGGTACTGGAAATGATCCGAGCCACTGAAAACAACAATTTAATAAGGGAAGAATATCGTATCACAAAATTATTTGTTGTTCAATTAAAATATTTTTTTCTTTCAACATGAATAATTTTCATTTGGCAATAAAACTCGACCATTATTGTTTGCGTAGAAAAATTTATTTAATGTCATAAATTTAATTCAGTCATGAAAGATTGAAGCATTTTAACACATTATCAAATTTTTTATTTTTATTTTTACTCGTATTCGCATTAAATCAACGAAAAATATCGCTTCCTTCATTTGATCTCGCTGAAAAGATAAAATTTCTTTTTTATATGATAATTACCATTTGATTATATAATAACACGAATGTACAATGATTTTCAAAGAGCTCTTAAGAGGTCATTATAAGGTGATAATCTTTGACCTTTTGTTAATTATGCTAGTAGAATAAAAATCAAACCTCCACATTCCAGGAGAGTGAGAAACCGGGTCGCATATGTTATCAGAAATTTCGTACAGATAAGGACAGGCAAAAAGGACAGCGACGATCGGCCGATATTGTTGGAATGGATCAGACTGATGTAGTCCGAAATGCAATATGGACAACAGGTGGGCGACAATCTTCGCAACAACTAAAACGCACACAACTGCGGCAGATATTGAAGCAGTAATAGCAGCAGTAGCAACAGCAGTTGTAATTGTAGCAGCCGCAGTAAAAACGAATGATGAATGAATGAATGGATGATGAAAACTGATCTGATCGGCGTAACGTTTCATTCCTTTCAACTACTATGGAACGAAAATTATTTGGTTCCACCTACCACTATTACTATTACCACCACCACTACTACTTCTACTACTGCTACCACTACTACTACTACTACTACTACTACTGCTGCTGCTGCTGCTACTGCTGCTACTGCTACTGTCACTATTTTATTAAAAAAATAAAAATTTGACCTTTTTCAAAAAGGCTTTCTTTTTGTTGTGGTATGCAATGTTTCAGTCGTCATTTATGTGACATGCTGAGAGGGTGGATGGACAACGGCATTAGGGTCATTTAGAGTAATTGTCACATGTTTAGTGACACATATCATTTGACCGTAATACATTAAATAGCGAACGGTTACGATCACTTCAAAATTGTTCAAAAAAGGTCAAAAATAAATGCTACTATATGATGTGAGAGGAGGAGAAGGAGAAGAAGAAGGAAGAAATGACCAATATTTGCATATTTTCAATGACAAAAATCATTAACAACATTTCAAATACACAAAATTAAGATATTTATTTCATTTTTTGCAACCACATTTCTCATTTTCTTTTAATTAATTTTAATTTTCGTTTAGTTGAATGGAAAACGATTTGACTTTTTATTTTATATTGCAAAGTTTGCATACAACTTACTCCTATCCATCATTTTAATGAAAAACTTTTTATTGTCATGAAATTATAATGCAATTTTGAGATCTAATTCGTTTGAATTCTTTAGTTAGTAACCAAGTGGTAATCGATAATAATGAATTATTCTTGAATAAATTATTAATTTTTCCGGTAATTTTTAACATCTCATAATTATATATCAATTTTTCTCCATTTAAAATCTTGCAAATGCCCTCTCATGTTTTTTTCTTTATTTGTAAATTGAATTAATAAATAAAAACATTTCAAATTTAATTGTTACATATTTATCTCCTACAATAACATTGTTCATAATAACTTCATTTTTTTCCAATCATAAATATTCAAAATAATAAATTAAATATTTATTTTGACAATTAAACGATTTAAACTGTTTTATCCTACAAAAAATAAAATCATATATCAAAAATTATATGATTTTCAAAAATTCATTATTACAACAATTTCATTTTTTTTCTTCCGCCAACCATAAAAAAATCATCGATGAAAATGATCCCATAAAATTATTCCTTTTTTTACACTCCACCAAATTGTATAAAATATGAACAGTGTGAGCTATAAAATTTAGAAAAAGAGGAAAAAGAAGAGGAAGAAGAATAAAATGACTATAAGAATTTTAAATTTAGATTTTGTAGATGTGAACAAAAATGTTTTAGGAGAAAATGAAAGGAATAAATTACAACTGACAATAATTTCTTGTTTTTAAAAGAAATTTTTCAAAATTATAAATGAATTACAAATAGAAAATGAATAGTTTTCCTCTTAAAAAAAAATTTTTTTTGTTTGAAACTTTCAAAAAAGTTTTTTCATCATCCTAAATTACAATTATTCCACATAATTTAAATGTGATTATTTAGCATAGTACACTGCAAACTTTAAAATTCAGAAGAATTTTTTAGCTAAAAATGATAAGAAAAAATTAATTATATTGTACTATTCATAAGCATCTTCATATATATTATTTCATATCTCATATGGTCATATTTTGGAATTCTGGTACAATTTTTTATTTTTAATAGGTCAAATATTAATTGTAACAGTTTGTAAGAGTGTAACTGAAATATAAGTTTTTTGATAGTTTCAAATTTTTTCATAAATTAAAAAAATATTCTGCAATTTTCCTATGAAATTTATATTTTATTACTTTTATCTTCATTTATAAAATAGCAATTTGAATTGTCGTTTATTTCATTTATATTAAATGTTTGCGTATAGAACAACGTAATTTATCTTGCCGTATTATGCTTTCTTTAAATCATTTAAATTTCTTTCATTAAGTTATTGAAATTTCTTCACTGTTGTTGGGAATGAA